CAAAATCATGATTTCGCAGCAACCTGGCTGGAACCTGGATCTATTATACTGAGTGACCTCACACAGAAACAAAGATCAGAATATCACATGTTCTCACTCATATAATGGACCTTGAACATCCAATGTAATACTATAAGAAAATGACTGACGGTACTGGGAAAACTATGGGGGGGAGGGGGAGGGGATTAACAGTAGCAAATATCTGTCTGGGGCTGGGAAAACACCTCTTATCAACAGGGTGTCTGAATGAAACGTAATTGTACACCTAACCCTTAACTGTACCCCACAAAACTATAATAAAAATACTGATTAATTATTAAAAAAAAAAACCTCAGTACATACATTAAAAAAAAAAAAAAAAAAAAACAAGAACAAACCAAATCTAGAATTAGTAGTAGGAAAAAAATAATAAAGATCATAGCAGAAATAAATATAATTGAGACCAAAAAAGTATAGAATATCAACAAAATTGAAAGTTGGTTTTTTTGAAAGATAAACAAAATCCTTTAGCTAAACTAAGAATAAAGAGTGAAAACTCAAATAAGATAAAATTAAAAATGGAAAAGAAGACATAGGTGGGGTCACAGAAACTATAAAACTGTAAAGAAATTGAAGAGGACACACACAAAAAAGGAAAGATGTTTCATGCTCATGAATTGGAAGAATTAATATTGTTAAAACAACATTGCCCAAAGCAATTTGCAGATTCAATGCAATTTCTATCAAAATATCAATGACATACAAAGAATCATTACCGACTATAATGAACAACTATGTATCAACAAACTGGAAAATCTAGAAGAAATGGATAAATTCCTGGACATACACAATCTACCAAGATTGAACTATAAAGAAATAGACAACTTCAACAAACCAGAAATAAGTAAGAAGATTGAAGTCTTAATAAAAAGTCTTCCATCAAAGAAAAGCCCAGGCCCTGATGGCTTCACTGCTGAATTCTACCAAAATTTTAAAGAATTAATACCAATTCTTATCAAACTCAAAAAAAATAAAATAAAATATATATATTTGAGTTGAAGTCTCACTCTGTCACCCAGACTGGAGTGCAGTGGCCACGCCCAGCCACTGCAACCTCGACCTGCTGGGCTCCGGCAATCCTTCCGCCTCAGCCTTCCAAGTAGCTGGAATTACAGGCATGCACTACCACGCCTGGCTGATTTTTTGATTTATTGTAGAGATGAGGTCTCACTGCCCGGGCGGGTCTCAAACCTGCGGGCTCAGGCAATCCACTCACCTCAGCCTCCCAAAGGCGCGAGATTACAGCCACTGAGCCGAGCTTTTCTCTTCAAAAATATTAAAGAGGAGAGAATATTTCCAAATTTATTCTATGAGACCAGTATTACTCTGATCCCAAAATCAGACAACTATGGGAAAAAAAGGAAACTAAGGGACAATATTACTGATGAAATAGATGTAGAAATTCTCAACAAAATACTAGCAAACAAAATTTAACAACTTATTTTTTAAAAAAAACAGTCACCATGACCCAAGGGACACAGGATGCTTCAACATACACAAATCAATAAACTTGATATATCACATTAACAGAACCAAGAGCAAAAACCAAATATTTTCAACAGATGCCAAAAAAGTATTTGACAGAATTCAACATCCTTTTATTATTAAAACACTCATCAAACTGATTATAAAAGGAATATACCTCAAAATAATAAACACCATCTATGACAAATCCACACCTAACATTTTACTGAATGGAAAAAACATTGAAGGCTTTTCCTCTAAGATCTGGACAACACAAGGATGCCCACTTTCCCGCTTTCATCTGTCATAACACTAGAGTCTAGCCAGAGCAATTAGGCAAGAGAAAGAAATAAAAGGCATCCAAATCAAAAAAAGGATGAAATCAAATTAACTTTGTTGACAGATGACATAATCTTATACTTAGAAAAACCTAAAGACCCTTCCAAAAATTGCTAGAACTGATAAACAAATGCAATAAAGTTCTAGGATAAAAAAAAAAAAACATACAAAAATTAGCATTTATGGATGCCAACAGCGAACAGTTGAAAAATCAGGAGTGATTCCATTTGCAATCATTATAACGAATACATAACAACTTGGAATTAATTTAACCAAAGAATTGAAAGTAGGCTGGACTCGGTGACTCAACCTGTAATCCCAGCACTTTGGGAAGCCGAGGCTAGTGGATTGTCTGAGTCTGCGGGTTCGAGACCTCGTCTCTACAACAACAACAACAACAACAAAATTCTCTGGGCAAGGTAGCGAGTGCCTGTAGTTACGGCTGTTTGGAAGGCTGAGGTGGAAGGATTGCCGGAGCCCAGCAGGTAGATGCTGGGGTGACCTTGAGAGTGCCACTGCACTCCAGCCTGGGTGACAGAGTGAGACTCTAACTCAAAAATTTTTTTAAAAAAAACTGTTAAAAAAAAGTGAAAGTTTTATACAGTGAAAACTATAAACTGCAAAGAAATTGAAGAGGACACACACACACACAAAATGGAAAGATTCCATTCTCACGAATTGAAAGAATGAATATTGTTAAAACTGACAATACTGCCCAAAGCAATTTACAAATTCAACGCAATCCCTATCAAAACATCAATGACATTATTCACAGGAATAGGAAAAAATTTTTTTAATTCATATGGGCCCACAAAAGACCCTGAATAGCCAAAAAGGACAAAGTTGAAGGCATCATACTACCTGACTTCAAAATTTACTACAAAAGCTATTGTAACCAAATCAGAATGGTATTGTCATAAAAACAGACACATAAACCAATGGAATAAAATAGACAACCCAGCGAACTCATTTTCAGTAAAGGTGTCAAGGGGAAAGGGGCACAGAAAACCGGATAATTAAGAAAAATAAACTTAGACCCTTATCTCTCACCACACACAAAAATCAAATCAAAATGAATAAAGACTTAAATCCAAGACCTGAAACTACTAGAATAATACATTGGGAAAATACTTCAGGACACTGGTCTGGGCAGTTTGTTTAAGATCCCAGTAGCCATCAGACAATTGAAAGGTGAAATGAAACTTAAGTATAGACTATCGCTGGGTTCGGTGGCTCAGCCTGTAATCCCAGCACTTTGGGAGGCCGAGGCGAGTGGATTGCCTGAGTCCGGCGGGTTAGAGACCAGCCCGGGCAACTTGGCAAGCTCTCATCTCTACATAAAAGAAAAAAAAAAATTAGCCAGGCGTCGTAGTGCATGCCTGTAGTTCCAGTTACTTGTAAGGCTGAGGCGGAAGGATCGCCGGAGCCCAGAAGGTCGACGCTGTGGGGGGGCCGTGAGTGTGCCACTGCACTCCAGCCTGGGTGATGGAGTGGGACTCCTACTCAAAATAATAATAATAATAATAATAATAATAATAATAATAGACTATCTAAAAGAAGTGCACAACCTGAGACTTACTGTATGACTATATCTCTTTGACTTGTGTCAAACAAACACTAACAACAAATAAGATGAGCCATTTTGCACTGACTGCTGTTTCTGTGTCTATTTTTGGTTGGTTATCCTAAAGGATATTCTGAGGTTGCAGCCTCTGCTATTCCTCCTAGAATTAAGTCTTTACACTCATAAGGGACCTTGAACAACTATCATAATTCTATAAGAAAGGGATTGGCAGTAGTGGTAAACTGCCAGGAAGTGGGGATGGGATTGGCAGTAGTGGGAGCTGCCTGGGGAGTTGGGGACAAACCTTACCAACAAGGGTACCTGCAAAATAAACCTTTGTATACTTAACCCTGAATTGTACCCCACATCTTTAAAATAAAAAACTTAAAAAAGAGAGAATTAAGTCTTGAATTAAGACTGGAACTAAGTTGAATTGAGACCGGAACTACTCTGCTGCATTCCTCAGGTCCCGGGTGCTCTCTCTGCCACCATCTCCACACCCACCCACTCTGGGCCTGCCTCCTTTCATAAAGACCAGGGTTCTGTCAGGAAGAAGGACATCTGCATCAGTGCAGGAATGTAGTTGGCTCACCTTTAAACCCTACCCTCCATCACCACTCCCAAGGAACATGGAGGAAAAACTCGCTGATTTACAATAAGCTCTTCTCTGTGCCATTGAGAAGTCATGTGGAGCCTTGTTACAAGTATGAGCTCTGGGACCTTGACTGCTTGCATGGGTTCAAATTCCACCTCTGCCAGTTACTACTGGGTAGTCTTGGCCAAGCCACTTACCCCTTCTGTCCCTCGGCTCCTTCTTTTGTAATGTGAGTTACAGCAGGTTATTAATGCATGTGTTCACTGGGTTAAAATATGCATATTACTTAGAACAGTGCCTGCTATGCAATAAATCTACCTGCTATATTGCTATTGTTATTAGTAACACTAACCATGATGATAATTGGGCTTCTCTAGAGAAGAGACAAGCATCATTATTAGTGAACAATGGAGAGCAGGGCTTGTCTATGATAAAGCACCCAAAGATCCTGGACTTTCCACAAGGACTTTGACCCTGGACCCTGAAAAATCATAGAAAGTCATAAAATCATGACTCATAAACTGCAAAAGCCAATTCCTAGTGCAGTTAATGTTACTGTGATGTTCTCTCTTTCTCTCTCTTTACAGGTATACACTTTATTTGACAATTACAACTTTTTTTTTCCCTTTACCCTTGATTTTGGTGTGCTATAGTTTAATTTTATGCTATACTTGGGATATGTATCAACAGAATAAGAATGCCAAATGGTAAGTGTTTGCCTTATTTGTTAAAAGAACAATTTAGATATTTGAAGACATCCACAAGAGAAACTTAGCAACAGTGACTTGAAAAGTACCACACTTAGACATAAGGGCATTGATATATGTATGTAAAAGGCATTTTGAGGAAAATAAGACACGTTCTAAGGCAGCTGTTTGGGGATCTCTCAGTGATAAATGTTGAAATCACTGATATAACGGTTCCATTAAAATGTAGACAGAACTCAAAATTTGCTTTAAAGCATAATTTTGTATTTCTCATCAACAATGTTACTTAACTGTTTTAGTTGTACGTTTTGCAGAGTTGTACATCTATGTAAACATACTAGATGTTATGTGCAACTTTTTCAATTTTTACGTTTCAATTTTTTTTAATTTAGAGGAAAAGTGTCTCATTAATATTAGAAAAGAAGGGCCTTATTAATGTTAGAAGAAGGTTAACTAGGAATAAATAAAACCAAAGATTTAACCTAAAGACAATAAACTTTGAAAGAATCTATGAAGATACATGTTTCTAAAACTGCATAAATAAATCTAAATTATTTTCAACTTAAAATTATGCATTCAGACTTGTTCAAATGAGTAAGTCAGTAATTATGTTAGGTAAAAATACATTTAAATTTATTAAAACTTGTGTTTTAAACAGATTTTTGTGTTTCTTTTGGAAAATCAAGTTTGCTGGGCTTCCAGGTATACTGTTTGTTGTAACACTGTGAAGATTTATTTTAAAAAAGGAATATATGAACAATTTAACCACCATTAGTCAAAATTTGTGACAAACCTTGGAACCAAAGGTGTAAACCATCTATTGGCTCTCAATATTCTTTTTCCACTTAGCTACTTGAAATTCTTTGGAAGTCTTACATTATTAAAGGATGGTCTTTTTCGGGATAGAAAAGAGAAACAGTCACAGTTATAAAAAAAATTAGCTTGTAAATATATCACAGGGAGCTGAGTTGATGAGAAGTTTGAAATGAAATCATGTGGAATATTAAGTCACTGACAGATGGAACGAATGCTTGAGCCTTTTTAAAGCAGCTCTCTGAATCAGATCATTTTGCTCCTAACATTTTTCACCGAAATGCTATGAGCATCTTATGAAACAAAGCTCATACTGTCCAGTTATGCCTCAAAATGCAAGAAGTTCGAGGAATGATGGTGGTTATTCTGATAAACTGCAGAGGACTCCCTGTTTTCAAAAGACTTTCTGCTTGTATACTTTTTCAAAATGTCATTTCCAAAGCATTTTCATCTGCTTCTACCAAGTCCCAGGGAAATTTCTATTAAATGTCTAAATATGACATAACATGATATAATCTGGGAATTTAAAATATTTTTTATTTGCAAAACTTTTAATTTATAGATACACAATCACCCAGTTTTCCCTTTGTTTACATTTTCCATTTCCATGGTACATTTTTCAAAACAAAGAAAATAGCATTAGTTCATTACTATTAACTAAATTCCACCCTTCAGAGAACTCCACGAATCTTTCTATTGAAGTCTTCTCTCTTTCTGCTCCAGATTCAATCTAGAATAACACATTACATTTAGTTGTCATGTCTTCCCAAGCTTCTCTAGTCTGTGACAGTTTCTCAGTCTTTGTTTTTCATAATCATGATAGTCTTAAGGGGTGCTGGCAAGTATATAGAATGTTTTTAATCTGGGTTTGTCAGAAACTATATCAAGATTACACTATATTATGTAACTTTGGGGAAAAATCAACTCTTTTCATCACAATATACCAGGGATCACACAAGGACTACAAGACATCACTGTTGATGTTAGCCTTGACCACGTGGTTAAGGTAGTGTTTGCCTGGTGTTGCCACCATGGAACTACTATTTATCTCTTTCTCTATTCTTTGGGAGTGAATCGCTAGGTAGAGACTACCTAAAAGGGGGAAAGTAGGAATTAGGGTCCATCTCTTGAGGGGAATATCCTCAGATATTATTTGGCATGAGCATAGCCTTGAGCTCCTGGGCTCAAGCAATCCTCCTGTCTCAGCCTCCTGAGTAGCTGGGACTATAGATGCATTGCCATGCCTGGCTAATTTTTAAAATTTTTGTAAAGACAGGCTGTCACTACATTGCCGAGGCTGGTCTCGAATGCTTGGCCTCAAACAATCCTCTTGCCTCAGCCTCCCAAAGCACTGAGATTACTCAATTTTATTTATATCAGTATAGAATTATATATTTTTTCATACTTTGAGTTATAATTCAATGCTTTGTTATATCTTTTGTTTCTCAAAATGTTCCATCTTTGGAAAATTTAGGAATTTTTGAAACAAGAGTAAAAAAGTATGTTTTTACAATGTTCTGAATAAGTAGGAATATACAAATGAGCTTCATATTTTATTGCAAAACCATTAGGAACTGTCCAAAATGTTCTAGGAAAACACTGCTGTGATCTCTATGATTGTTTATACCCTGTCTATACATGTGTTTCCTTTGCAGTTATAATCCCAGTATACCAAAGCAGAGAGTGATGAAGCTGACAAAGATGGTGCTGGTGCTGGTGGCGGTCTTTATCCTAAGTGCTGCGCCCTATCATGTGATACAACTGGTGAACTTACAGATGGAGCAGCCCACATTGGCCTTCTATGTAGGCTATTACCTCTCCATCTGTCTCAGCTATGCCAGCAGTAGCATTAACCCTTTTCTCTACATCCTCCTGAGTGGAAATTTCAGGAAACGTCTGCCTCGACTCCAAAGGAGGGTGACTGAGAGGGAGAACAACAACATGAAGAACATCCTAAAATAGAGCTTTTAGGAAAGTACATGGATCATCAAGAATCGAGACAGGATTTTCTATGTTATGGGTATTATTAGAAACAGCAGATGTCCTGATATGCTAATGCCCATTCTTCTTGTGTACTTGTGACTCTTAGCAACATGGAACAGAAATGTAACTGTTCAAATGCAATGAGTTTAATATACTAACTGTAGCAAGATGTAAAATGTTGATCTATAACGTGGGTGAAGAATGGGATGGGCTAAGTTTCTCAAACTTTATGGTTGTATATATTATTTCAGAATATTATAGTCACTAATAAAAATGGCCATCCATGACCATTGACTTAACTCACCAAGGAACCCGACCTTGTCATCCACACTGTGGCCTCTCTGTGATAGAGTCTCCTCAAGTTTCCTAGAAGGAGATCACCTTAGAGCTAGGTCTGAAACCTAGACATTTTTTTATCCACAAAAATGTTGGCTTCATATGGTCCAATTATTATCTTTAACAACTAAGCCCCACCTTTTAGAATAGCAGTCACCACTTATTGCACTCATGTAATGTGTAAGATTACATGTACCCTGTGAAATAAGCCTTATTACCTTCACTTACTAAGGCTCAGAAAGCTAAGTAATAGGACTAAAGCTGTACAGCTATCTAAGAGCTGAAATACAGGTCTGCTTGTTTGTCTGTTCTACTGCACCCGCTATCTATCTTGACAACCTGCACTTGTCACACTGGAGACAGGCAGTAACTTGGAGTTTCCTTTGCTTTCTCCTGCAGCCCCCCCAAGAAAAGAATGAAGTCTGAAAGAAATGAGTTATTTAAGCATATTCTTTTGAATTTAGCTCTGTTCTCATACCTGCTATCTGTAGAAACCAACATCTGCATTTTAACAACAGCACTTCACTTCATGACTTTAAGCATTATTAAGAAATATTCAAGAGAGCAATGGGCAGTAGCAGGACACTGCCAGGGAAGCGGGGGGCACATAACATCACTACGGGTACCTGATCCTAAACCAGGAGAAGTGAGGACGAGTGGGAGGCCCAAACTGCACCTGCACGTAGACTACTTATATGTCTAATCCTGACTTGCACTCCACATCTTTACAATAAAATAAAGGGGGAAAAAAAAGAAACATTTCCTTTAGGTTACAGTATATATTCAGAGTACAAAAAGCAATTAGCCCTCTAATTCATAAGTATTCATTATATCTATCTTTTCCTTTTTTGGCTTGTATAAAACATGCTGTTTGGTATATTAGGAAAGGGGAAAAAATGCTTTTAAAGCTTATATTCTCAACAAAGACAAATATTGTTATTTTTGTTTGAGGATGAAATCTGTAAACCCACCTATTTCGTCTAAATACTGTACATAAAATTGCTTGCTCCTTGAACATCTGAAACTGATTTCCAATCAGCCTTCTTTAGAAAAAGAGTCACAGAGACCAGATTTTTTAATGAGTTCATCTCCATTTTTATATCTCAGTTGTATTTGAATCAACCCAAACACATGAATTCTAACCCAATGTATCTCTCTCGAGATCTTTTAGGCATCATTTTGGAACTAGGTAGTATCTAAAAGCCTATCTGGATGAATGGTTGTGTAAACAGCATGAAAACTACAAGCTGAGACAGATCATATCTGAGACACTTTATTGCCGTAGCTGAGGCCTGGAGACATATGCACAGAGGCTGGATGCTCCTTTCAAATTTCAGTCAAAGTTGTGTCATGGCTACAATTTTAGGGGCCTTCGTTCTCACTTCTCTAAGGTGCAAAAGTCAGGACTTAGTGAATAACATTGACTTCTGAAGACTCAACACAATGTGTCAGAAACATGTTATTATTTGATAATTGAAAAACAATTGTTTACTCCCACTATCTTTTTAAGACAGAAAAATTATGATTTTACATAAATGGTTTTCAAACCAACAGATTTTTTTCTAATAGCATTCCCCAATGGTCTTCAAATAATTGATCAGTGAATTATTTTAATTTATATTTATTAAATATTGAAAAGAGCTTTAGCATTTAATCAAAGTAAAAAATAAACAAGGTGACTATCAAATTTATTTTTATGCCTTTATATAGCTTTTCTATGCATAAGATTATTTATATACATATTTATAGAGGTGATTTGACAGAGATTATGTGTTTGATATGTTTGGCCATGATATGTATATATGTTTACTTTCAAGTGATGTTAACAATGATCTCTTCTCATATAAAACTTGAGTATTTGTTACTAAGTAAAATCATAATTGTATTCTTCTTCTATGTGTATTCAATTCTAGGCGCCTCATTTAAACTTTGATCATCAATTAATATAAGCAAATGAGTAAAATTTTTTTGTATAGTAATTTATTTCTGGCTTGTAGCTTCTACTTTTAAGGTTTCTTGTACAAAGGATTTCAGATTATCTTAATACAGTTTCTCCTGAACAAAGACCAAAGGTTTTGGAATAGTAAAATATGTCCTAAATACAGCCAGTAACTATCACACCAAAATCTCAGAAATCTAAGCCCTTATATTGTGTTTGCAGTTCCAGGAATTGCTGCTTTTTGTGAGTTATTTAACAAGGTTATGGAACCTTGGGTCTAAAAGTTACTTTAGAGATTACCAGATGTTAAAGATGAGAGAAACGAACTGCAGATAGATTAAATTATTTTTATCGCAGTCCATTGTGTTTCCAGACACTCACACCTAATAAGCAACTAAAAATCAACCCTAAGTTCTTTTTACCAGTCCATAATCCCTCTCTTGTGGGACAGTAGGAAAACCCTAGTGAGAAAATTATAGTTGATACTTCATGGCTATAACTAATATCTGAAAGTTTAATGAGTAAACTGAGATTATATAGTTATGCTTTGCAAGTTGTAGATTTAAAAAAAAAGAATCTGACTCCTCATAACTTATTTTGATTTCTTATCAAGATAGCAAAGATTAACTTTCCTTTTATTTCACAAAGTTCTATGGAATTAGCTCAAAGCAATATAGAGAGATTAACAATATTTCATTTTATTGTCTCTCTCTACACCAAGAATTTAGGAAGCCTCCTCTGCCACCTAAAGTTAGGAACAGCACTACAGTTATGACTCCTTTTTGACTTCACCCTAGCAAATTTTTTCATTTGCCTTTTAGAAATTAGCTCAGACACAGCTATAGTCCATTCAAAATACTATTCTTAGTATCTTGATTTCTGGTAGATCATTTAACAGATATTTACAGAATTTTATATCCAAGGCATTGTGCTGAGCTTCACTGAGAATTAAAAAAGAAAGAAAACAGGAGGGAGAGAAGGAGGGAGGGAGAGAAAAAGGGAAGGAGGAAAGGAGGAGGGAGGCAAGGAAGAAGGAGTAAAGAAGGAAAGAAATGCCAAAGACATTACCCTGTCTCAAGCGCTGAAAATCCAGTGTCTCATGCTTCCTGTAAATCAGCTCTACCCACTTAGGGATACCAGAGAACAACCTACGGTGTTTTCCCAATTCTAAAGTGCAATTGATAATAAAATATACCATAAATTTAATAATTGCTTTTGGGAAGCAAAACACAATATTAAGCATTCACATAAATAGATACGCCCTAATTTTTGAAACACATATGAAAAAATGCACATCACAGAATTAAGGAAAACAATACTGACCACTCGTCAACATATTTTCTTCTCAGATTAAATGCTCTCCATCACTCTATGAAAGGATTCTTCTTTAAGTGACTCCATTTCTACTCATGTCTAAATTCAAGCACAATGAATCATATCAAAGGGTCAAAACTGATTAAACATCTCACAAACTTTTTACTTTTTTCAGGTACAGGATTAGGGGAAAATGTAAATAATTTTGAAATAAGTATATGGCAATAACAGCAAAGCCACAAGAATTTGCAACCTTAACAACTGGAAAACTTAACATTGCATCCTGATAATAAAGCTTTGGGTTTCCTGGGAATGAAAAGTTATCTCTGGCTTCATGATACCATTATTGGGAATGATACTTCAAAGGTATTCTCTTCTATCAGAAACCTACTTAAAAGTATAAAGTAGCCCCCCAATCAAAAATGTGGGAGGCCGGGCTCGGTGGCTCAGCCTGTAATCCCGTGCCTTTGGGAGGCTGAGGTGAGTGGATTGCCTGAGCCCGCGGGTTCGAGACCCGCCTGGGCAGCGAGACCTCATCTCTACAATAAATCAAAAAATCAGCCGGACGTGGTAGCACGCGCCTGTAATTCTGGCTACTCAGAAGGCTGAGGCGGAAGGATCGCCGGAGCCCAGCAGGTCGAGGCTGCGGTGACCAGGAGCGGCCACTGCACTCCAGTCTGGGCGACAGAGTGAGACTCCAACTCAAAAAAAAAAAAAAAGAAGTGTGAGAGCATGGATGCAGTTAGAAACCACCATCCTGAGTGAATTATCACAGAAACAGAAAAACGAATACCAAATACTCTGTCTTATAAATAGGAGCTAAACACTGAATGCACACAGGCACAAGGATGGGAACAACAGGCACTGGGACACTCTTAAAGTGGGAAGGGAGGAAGGGGTAAATGCCCAATAGGTACTATATCTACCACCTAGGTGACAAACTCAATAGAAGCTCAAGTCCCTCTAATCACGCAATATTCCCATGTAACAAGTTTACACATGTACTAGCCCTGTAAAAAATTTTTAAAATTTTTGAAAATAATTTTTAGTGGAGAAAGGCATTTCTTTTCATTAAAACTGTATTTATTTATTTTAAATTTTCTTTTAAAGTTGTGGGGTACAATTCAAGTTTAGGTATACAAATGGTCATTGTACAGGTAAAGTTTGGGCCAGAAAAAAAGCATTTCTAAAACACTAAATGATTTTCACTGATAGTACATTTGGTGCCTATAGCATAATAAACAAAAGGGGTTGTTCTTCCTAATTTATGGAACTGAATATGTGTGCTATTTCTCTGCAAAACATTCAAGGCAAATATCTATCTTTTGCTAGTAGGTATAAGTAATACAAGGCACCATTTAATAACAGCTACCTAAAATGTCATATGTAG